TTCTCCATTGTATCACCTTTGCTCCTTTGGCGAAGACCAGTTGACCATATTTGTAGGTCTGTTTCAGTGCTCTGTATTCTGTTCCACTGATCTATTTGTCTATTGTTTTGCCAGTACCATACTATCTTGATTACCACAGTTTTGCGGTGGGTATTGAAGTCAGGTAGTGTTAGCCCTCCAATCTTATTCTTCTTTGGCATTGTGTTGGCTATTTTGGGTCTTTTGCCTTTCCATATAAACTTTAGAATTAATTTGTCAATATTCACAGAATAATTTACTGGGATTTTGATTGGGATTGCATTGAGTCTATAGCATAAGCAAATGTGAAATTCCCTATGCTCAAATTATTTCCTAATATATTAATTGCATTGACACAAATTCAGCAAGTGTTAAAGTAGAACTGACTATATACAGTAGTCCCCCTTATCTGTGGTTTCGCTTTCTGCAGTTTTATTTACCTGTGGTCAACCATGGTCTGAAAATATTAAATGGAAAATTCCAGAAATAAACAATTCAAAGTTTTAAATTGCGAGCCAATCTAAGTAGGATGATGAAATCTTGTGTTGTCCTGCTCTGTCCCACCCAGGACATGAATCATCCCTTTGTCTTGGGTATCCATACTGTATCTGCTCTCCGCTCCTTTGTCACTTAATACCCATCTCTGTTGTCAGATCGACTGTGTTGTGCAGTATATATAGGGTTCAGTACCCTCCGCAGTTTCAGGCAGCCACTGAGCCTCTTGGAATGTATCCCCCTAGGATAAAGGTGGACTACAGTATTTTTTTCCCCTAAACCATTGAAAGTAAGTTGCAGATATGGTAATACTTCACTCTTAAATACTTGAGTATAAACCTTCTAAGAATAAAGGCATTTTCCTACATAACCATAATATAATTATTGCTCCTAGGGTAATTAGCACTAATTCATCACATAGCTTTTTTAAAACATGCCTATCCTTAATAAAGCTGTTTTTTGTTTTGGGTTTTTTTTGTTTTTGTGACTGGTAAGGGGATCGTAACCCTTGGCTTGGTGTCGCCCACACTGCACTCAGCCAGTGAGCGCACCGGCCATCCCTATATAGGATCCGAACCCGCGGCTGGAGTGCCACTGCGCTCCCAGTGCCGCACTCTCCCAAGTGAGCCACAGCGTCGGCCCTTGGGGGTTTTTTTTAATGCCCACTCTGTCCTGAACTAGTAGGCACATACTGTGCCATGTTGGGATATGAAGACAAACAAACAAAGTTCTCACCATTTAGATGTTCACAGCCTCCTGGGGAGACAGATATCTAAGAAACCATGACAGTGGGCTGGGATAGAGGCTGTAGTAGCTGTGTCTACTTTCCTTTCATTCAAGGAGTGTATTAACAGAAATGTGCTTCTTGTGGGATAAAGATAACTCTTCCCAGAGTGGTGTTCTGGAACCTGTGCCCTGTTCTGTGAGCCACCAGCCTGACCCTGATGGACCTTTCTTCCTGGCCCAGAGGGTTATGACTTCCTCTGATTCTTTCAGTTTCTGTACAGCTAGGATTGGCCAGGCACAGAGAAGCAAGGAGGAGGGCTTTGAGAACCAAGATAAGGAATGGGGACTTTATCCTCTAGGTCAGCTGTGTTAAGTAGGACATGGGTTTGGCCATGAATACCAGAGACCCAAATTAACACTGGCTTAATCAAGATAGGAGTTTATTTCTCTTTCACGTAACAGTGAAGAGATAGCTGGCCTAGGGCTGGAATCCTGGCTCAGATCGACGAGGTCATTCACAGACCTAGGCTCATGTTGGCTTATGGCTTCGAGGTCATTCACAGACCTAGGCTCATGTTGGCTTATGGCTTCGAGGTCATTCACAGACCTAGGCTCATGTTGGCTTATGGCTTCGAGGTCATTCACAGACCTAGGCTCATGTTGGCTTATGGCTTCGAGGTCATTCACAGACCTAGGCTCATGTTGGCTTATGGCTTCGAGGTCATTCACAGACCTAGGCTCATGTTGGCTTATGGCTTCGAGGTCATTCACAGACCTAGGCTCATGTTGGCTTATGGCTTCGAGGTCATTCACAGACCTAGGCTCATGTTGGCTTATGGCTTCGTCATCCCTCGATGACACGTCACCACATCCACATTCCAGCAGCAGGATGGGGAAAGGGGCAGCGTACTCCTTCCCACTCAGACACATTCTGGAAACTAGACACCTCACTTCTGTCCATATTCTACTGGCCAGAATTAACTCATGTAGCCATACCTATATTCAAGAAGGTACTGAAAAACTTAGTTTTCCTTTGGGAGGCCATGTACCAAGCAAAAAATAGCAGGTCCTATTCCATATAAGAAGGGAAAAGTAGATGTTGAGGGACAACAAAATATATACAAGCATTTCAAAAAACAAAACAAAAACCCTCCTATAAAATTTGTCTCTTAGAATGCTCCTTAAAAATAGATTTATTGGCCAAATAATTTTGGAGAACATTAAGAACTGTGTGTATCTCATAGAGATTCACAAAGCAAAGTGGCATATTAAAGGCTCTGGGAAGTTCTGCAATAAAGGAATGTGTCGGTCTCTGTTTAACCTACAATAATTTGGCCAAAAACTCCTTTTCACATAATTTTTTTATTTTTCTTTTTTGCAGAAGCCCTGTTAACATAAGCTTTGTGAGACACTGCTCTGGGAATCATTGAAGGTTTCTTAGTTTTCAGAGATGTAAATAATTTTGAAGCGGTTCTACTCCTAGAGGTGTAGTCAACAGAAATGTGTTGTTCATATTGTGTCAGTCAAGGTTAGATCGGAGAAACAGAGCAACTAGGAGATATGTGAAGGATTTATTCCAGGGATTTGACCTTATCCAACTGTGGGACCTGGTTTGACAGTATGTGTGAGGCTTGTCTTTGTGTCTGATGGTGGAGCTTGAAATCCACTGGGCAGACAGTTATGGAGGAAGAGATAAAGTTAGGATGCAGAACAAGCTGGAACTCATACGGATGGATGGAAACGTGGATCAGTCCATCATTGCCTCCAGCTTGGGCAATGTGAGTGTCCCGTAGCAGAAGCTGATGCTTTGCATTATGGAGCTGAACACATGTCTGTCTTTGGAGTCAGAGTAGCTGCAGGAGGATCCAAGGGAAGGCGGCCCCAGCATCAGGAGGCCTGGCTGCTGTCCCTCCCGCTGTAGTGAACTTGCAGATGAGCAGCAACGCAGGTGAGCTGCCTGAAGCTCCTGCACCGACCTTCTGACATGGCTACTGCTTCATTTCTGCTTTCCAAATCTGGAATCCTACAAGGAAGGGAATTCTGAGAAGCATAGTTCAGCCTAGCCAGGTCAACATGTTACAGAGCCACCACATGTGTGTTCACCAGATGACAAATACAGAATTGTTTACAGCAATGCTAGTTGTAATAGCTTCAAACTGGAAATAACCCAAATATGCATCAATAGTTAAGCAGATCAATAAAGCGCTACATGCATATGAGTGAGGGAAGGAATACAAAGCAGATGAGCAAAGTATTGCTACATGCACCAACATGGATGAATCTTACAAAAATCATTGAGCAAAAGAAGACAGACACAGAAGAATACAAACTACAGTTGCATTTATAGAAATTTCAAAAAAAGCAAAGCTAATTCATGGTGTTAGAAGTCAGGGTAATAGTTACTCTTGAAAGAGGGTTAATGACTTGGAGTGGAGGTGAGGGAGCCTTGTCATGTGCAGATCATGTTCTTTCTGCTTCTTGATCTGGGTGCTGGTTTCACAGGTATGTTTACTTTGGGAAAACTCATTGAGTTGTATAGTTGTAATTATACTTCAATACAAGGTTTAGGTAAGTTAAAGTTTTTACAAGTTATTTAGCAGTCATGGACAGGCTGGGTTGGAGGAAAGAAACTAAGTTAGGGCTAGTCAAACCCAGAAAGGACAGGGGTGTGGAGAAATGAGGCAGTAGGTACTGGAAGAGGCAGGCAGTGGTTGCGTGAGGAGAGGACAGCCCTTGAGGGCCATTGCATCTTTGTCCCAGGCTGTCCCTTCCCTGTGCTGGCCATATGTTGCCAGTACAAAGGTTGGGGCCTGTGTACACAGAGGCTCAAGCAGGGGCTCTCACCTCTGGTACACATCAGCAGAATCCCCTGTGTGGCAGGGAGAGAGGGACTGTGGTTCTGTAGATCTGGGGTAGACCCCTGGCACCTTTTTAAGTACCCTAGCTGTCCCAATGCATTCCATAGGGGAAAACAATCAAAAAAACAAAAAAACAAAAAGTACTGGACTGTGGAGGTAATAAAAATGGATCGAGGGAGGGGGAAAATGCAGGAACGTGGGGAAACTTGGTGCTTACAGAGCACCTTTATCCCCAAAGTCACCCTTATTCTGAATGCGTTTTCTTGACTTTAACCCTGACAAATACAACATTGTTCTAA